CGCTTGCTCCTGGGGAGGAAAGCTATGGCAAATCTAGACAGCATACTAAAAAGCAGAGGCATCAGCCTGCCAACAAAAGTGAGTATAGTCAAGGCGATGGTTTGCCCAGTTGCAATGTATGGCTGTGAAAGTTGGACCATAAGGAAGGCTGAGCACCGAAGAATTGAGGCCTTTGAATTGTGATGCTGGAGGAGACTCCTGTGAGTCCCTTGGACTGCTAGGTGATCAAACCGGTCAGTCCTAGAAGAGATCAATCCTGACTGCTCCTTAGAATACTGAAGATGAAACTCAAATACTTTGGCCACGTAATGAGAAGGAAGGACTCACTGGAGAAGAGCCTAATGCTGGGAATGATAGATGGCAAAAGAAGAAGGGGACGGCAGAGGATGAGGTGGCTGGATGGAGTCACTGAAGCAGTTGGTGTGAGCTTGAGTGGACTCCGGGGGATGGTGGAGGACAGGAAGGCCTGGAGGAATGTTGTCCATGGGGTCGCAATGGGTCGGACACGACTTTGCAACTAACGACAACAGCATTTCAAGGCTGCCCTCGCCAGGTGTTCAAGGGGATCCTGAGAATAGCCAGGATCTGCAACTGCCAGCAGGGGGCATGGGATAGGAGCTTCAGGTGCCAGATGAGCCTGGTAGGACCCTTGACTCAATGATGCAGTGCCAGGAGAGAGGGGCTAGCTAGCTAGAGGGGTGGCATACAGAGGAAAGGCTTACCTGCCTTCAAAAGTATTGGGAGAGAGAAGGATGACTGCTTTGGGTGCTTGTTCTCAAGGATTGCTGGCTGGGATGAATCAGAAGCAGAAGCAGAAGCAGGAGGGAGTTTTGGAGTATGGGCTTGTTGAGACCCTGAGATGAAAGGCACAGAAATCCTAATATCAAGGCCAGACTCTTCAGTTGGGGAGGCAGTTCATGGGAACATTCAAGATGTACAGCAGGTGGGAGGGCACCCTGAACACGGGAGTTTCTCAGCAGCCCTGACTCCTGACCCCATGATGTATTGTCAGCAGAAGACAGCAGCCCAATTAGAGGATAGGTGTGTGAGGAGGAGCTGCATGCCTGTTCTGATGGCCCCTCCCAAAGGGATGGGGCCCAGGTATGCTCGTAAGGAGAGTTCCTGGAGGTGAATACTAGACTGGATTCAACAAACTGCTCTGCGCACATTCACCTTGTACGTAGAATGTCACTAAGTAGTGTATACAATGGATACTACACAAGGCTGCACTATTTCCAATTTAGGGCAAAGGGTATTTCCTCTGCACCAACGCAGGCCACTTTGAAAGCACACACTGGGACAGGCCTCGTTTCCTCTGGGTATACTATAAGAAGCTTACAGGAATTCCTATCTGGCAGCATGTTCCAGCTGAAGAATGCAGCAGGGGGAAGGGCAGCTGCCTTAAATCCCAGGCTGCTGCCCAAAGTGGTTATTAATTCCCAGGCCACATTCTCTTCTCATATTTACTCAGGCAGCACCGTGACAAGACCGAAGAACATCAAGAGCTCATTCATGTGAATATCTTTTCCTGTCTTACAGGCCATCCTGTGCAAATGAGGCCCTTCTGCTGTTGTTTCTATAGGACGGGTAGATCAGTCTCTGTGTACAAGAAAATGCAGGGGCAGAAGTCTTAAGTGAAATGTTACAACATGCAGAAGGCAGAGGGTGGGTGGGGAGAAATATTTAACTCTTCCAGGAGCTCCTTCAGCAGACCTTAGCATACTCCCTCCACTCCATGCACAAGTTATGATGGAGTCTAGTTTTTAGTCACTAAGTAGGAATGTATTTGCACATGTAATACTGAGCAATGTAATTTCAATTTCTAGGAAAGGTTTCATTTACTACAAGATCACTGTTTGGGCTAAGTCCAGTGTTACAGAAACAGATTTCTACTCATGCCACAAGAGTTTTCCTTCCTCCTCACCCTTGCCCCCAGCCCTACCCCATCCTAAACCTGCATTAGAAGGTCCCATACCCCTAGCACTGTCTCTTGCATTTTATTCTTTTGGGCTTGTTTTGCTTAATTAACTGCACTTTTAGACTGCCCAATAGTAGATGTTAGTAGATAGTAGATAGCCTTTAATGAGAAAAGGAGTCCAAGATGTGTGGGAATTTAAAAAAGCAAATTCTAAAGGCACAATTACGAACAATTCCAGCAAGGAACAAGGGTAGACGACAACAGAGGAAGTCCATGTGATTTCACAAAAAGCTTAGAAATGGAAAAAAGACATGTATAGGAAGTGGGAGGAAGGCCAGGCTACAAAGGAAGAATACAGGCAGGTAGCATGGAATTGCAGGGATGGTATCAGGAAGGCTAAAGGTAGAAATGAACTGAGGCTAATGAGGAATGCTAAAAGCAGTACAAAAGACTTCTTCAGATACGTCCAAAGTAAAAAAGGAGAGACAAGGGTTCAGCTACTCAATGTGGATTGCAAAATTATAACACATGAGAGAGAAAAGGCAGAAGTGCTCAATTCCTGCTTTGACTCAGTCTTCTCCCTAAAGAAGATCTATGATTTTCCTGATGAAAGGGAAGTGCAAGCCAATGAAGCAGGATGGCAGCTCAAGATTGATAGGCGAATGGTCAAGCATCATCTAATTGGGTTGAATGAATTCAAATCTCCAGGGTCCAATGAACTACATCCTAGAGTCACAAAGGAGTTGGCAGAAGAACTCTCAGAACCACTATCTACAATCTTTAAGAATTAAGGGAAGACAGGAGAAGTGTCAGATGACCGGGGAAGGGCTAATGTTGTCCCTGTTTTCAAGAAAGGAAAAAAAAGAACCCAGGAACTACAGACCAGTCAGTCTGACATTGGTCCCTGGGAAAATTCTGGAGCAGAACAACCTCTGCATTGGATGGAATGGATGACAGCTTAGCCAGAATACATCTGTTAGTCTATAAGGTGCCACAAGGCAGATTGTTGTTTTTACATATCTACTGATTCAGATGACCATCTAACAAAGTATAGTTTACACAAGTCCATGGCTCAATAATTTTTTCAGTCTTTAAGGTGATGTCTTGCTTTCTCTGCAGCATATGAACCACAGTGCTTTTTAATTCCCTTGTGGGAACAGACCAGCAAGAAGATGTATACTTTTCTCCCACTAGGGGGAGAAAATTCCACCAGAAAGCAATATTAGCAGGTGTCAAGAAGTAAAAAAAAAAAACTGGAAAAATGACTTGAGAGGTTATTGGCAAAGGACAAAATTGCCCTGTAAATACAGCCACAAGTTTGGATTCTGTTCTGAGCGTGGAAGCAGAATGGGATTTAATGTTTAGACCCTGGTTGTTATGAGGACTCCTTTCATGAGCTTATACATGTTTACTTAGAGGAGTCCTGGTCTGGGCCAACACCAGATTTTGGTGGGTCACTAGCATAGTGCTGCTGATGGGCCCTTACTCTCTGGGTGTCAAGGATCACCAACAACCCTTGGTTTATTAATTGTGGGTTGTTAGACTGTGTGAACTGGAGTAGTGTTAATGGATTAAGACAGCAATTACAGAATGAGAGTTAGGCTATGATTTTGATCTGTCTTCCCCAGCCTGGGGTCCTCAGTGTGTGGTGGACTTTAGTTCCTGTCATACCCAGCCAGCATGGCCATTTGCCAGGAAAGCTGGTAGTTGCACCAAGCTGTGAAAAAAGGAAGGCATTTCTAGTGGAAGTCCTCCCAGACTGTGCATGGATTTTGCTAGCATAACATAGTGGTGAAAGAGGTGTACTTTGCATTTTTCTGGTTTTTATGAGCTTCAGGATTAAGGCCTGGCACTAAAAAGAGATATCAGGGCTGAGTGCTGGAACAATTTAAATCCTACCTTCAGCCCCTTAAGCACAGTGGTCAAGTCACCACCTGAAATTAGCAGGCCTTGCTCCTCTGTCCTTTGCAGCAATCAGCAGGTGAAGGTTTTTGAAGCCTTGAGGTAAATGTTATTGCCTACTAATTTCTGCACAGTCAAGCATCCTTTAAAGCCCTACCTGTAGGAGGTGATTGAAAAGTAAGCACCTTAAAGCCTCTTGCTTTTACAGAAAGTTCTTTCTTTTCAATTGACTTTATTTGGAAAGCTATCTGGCCCATTGAAACATATCTGAACGGTGCTCAGCAATTAGCAATTTGGTAACAATGGACCCACTTTGATAACAATTAGGAAATTCAGTGATAACTTTGCAAAGTGGGCTCAAATTCCCTTCTTTGCTAGATGGACAATGGACTGGGGAACCTTATCATGGGCCACCAGATGTGACAAATGGCATCTGTGGCATCTGTGTTTATGGCTGGAACCACTGCTGCCTCTTATGCCTGCAACTCCGTCCCAGAACACCTCCTCGACTTAGCTTTTCTCTCTTTTCCCCCTTTCAGATGTTCCTTTTCTGGTTTAACCCTTTAGTCCTTGTTCCCTGTTGTAGTCTTTCCCAACCTGATGCCCTCCACATGTGATTGACTGCAATCCCCATCAGCCCCCTCCAGCATGGCCCCGTGGTCAGGAATGATTGGAATTGCCAAGGTGTCCTTGTTAAAGCCAAGCTTAAGTACCTGAGCTGAACTTCTGTGCTTCCTCCGTGACGCTGGAGGCCATTTTTCTTCCCTTCCTTGGTTACCTCCCCCTTCCCCCTCCACCCACCCACGTGCGCAATTTCAGCTTGTAAGCTCCTCGGGGCAATTTCCTTCTTTTTGTGTACTGTTGCTATGTAAAGCCAGCCCGACACTATGCATAACAATAGACATTCAACGACGCTGCAAGGAGGGGTGAGCGTTGCCAGCGTAATGCAAGGGTCGAAGGGAAGAGCGGACACGGTTTCCATTGGAAGAAGCCGGGGCGGGGAACGCCCCCCCCGTTACCTCCCTCCGCCGACGGGTTAGTGACGTCGACCCAGGTCGCTCCCTCCTGGTTCCAGCCGCCGCCAGGTATGCGGGAGGCGGCGCTTCACCTGGCTCAGGTGCAGAGAAGGGCAGTACCTGTGGCGCTGTGGTCACGTGCCCGGGAGGCGGCGCCGTCGCCGCTGTCGTCGGCGGCCACAGAGCGCTCCCTCGGAGCCAACTCCAGCACCGCGAAGGGACCGGCAGCGGCAGAGCAGGTGAGCGCAGGGGGACAGGGAGAGGGGGCGGCCTCCACGGGGCCCATCTTGACTGCTTCACCCGGTACGGTGGGAAGAGGGCCAGGTCTCACTGGGGCACCTGCTGCGCGGGGAGAAGCGGGGAGCGTGGTTTTCCCCCGATCCGCTTCCTTCTCCGGGTGGGTGGGTTCATTTTCCTTAACTTGCTGGCGCGGGGGGGGGGGGGCGCCTTGCCGTTCTTCTCGCTGGCCAGATGCAAGCTCCGACCTCTCTCCCGCCCCAGGCCCTCCCCCTTCGTCCACTCGGGGCACCTGCATCCCACCGCGCCCGGTCTTTCCGCGCAGGGTGCAAAGGGCCGCGCGGAGGCTCCCGGAGCTCTTCGCTCCAGCTTCCGGGCAAAGTTGAGGCAAGCAGCAGGTGGCCGAAACCCGACGGGCGCTGGAAGGGAGTGCCTCTCTCGGCATCTTGTGGGCGAGAGAGGGGATCCTTCTGTCCCCCTTCCCGCGTTCGTACCTACCTTGCTTTTTTGGAAACCGCCCAGTTTCGGGTGGCTTGCGGGAGGAGGCGGAGGGAGACCCGGCGGCACCAAGCAGAGAGTTTCTGTTGCCTCCGCTCCGCTCAGCGAGTGGCTTTGGCGGTTAACCTTTGAGCAGCCTGGCCAGGTCTCTTGTGATCCAGGCCAGGAAACGGGGTGGAGGTAGTTCCCGTCGCCCCCATTGCTTTCTTGGTTATTGTTACCTCCTGACATTTTTGGGCAAGAAATCTAAGACGGTTTACATGATCTTCCTCTTCCCCATTTTATCCTGATAACAACCTTGTGAGGTAGGCTGGGCTGAGAGTCAGTGACTGGTCCAGAGTCACCCGGTGAACTGAGTGGGAACTAGAGCTGAGTCCCAGCCACCTTCCCTGCCTCTAATGGAAAACTGGCAGTGAGGGCCACCTTCAGGGAGGAACCCTCCCCCCCTCGAGCCACCCTTCTGTGGCCCACACGTGTGCGCGCGTTGTGGTTTCCTTCAGAAACAAAAGACCCACACAACCCAGGAATTGCCAGGGTCCACCAGCATGTGGACAGGGGGAGTGTCTATTCATGGGTTTTCTTGACTGTTGAAGGCATAACTGCACTTGTGTAAAGCAGGTGTGCACATGCATGTCCTTTTAAAAGCAGAAAGGTGAGACTGAGGCCATTGAAACCCAGCATTCTTTGCAAGCATCCCAGCAACTAGCAGATAGGAGGTGGCCTACCAGAAGCCAGCTAGGGAATTACGATACGCTTTCAGTATGCCTCAGTTTAGGGTGGCCAAGCGAGAAATGCAGGAAGCTGCCTTTCAAATCAGACAGTTGGTCAGCCTAGTCTAGTATTGTCAGCACTGACTGGCTGCTGCAGGGCTTCAGGCAGAAGTTTTTCCAGCCATAGCTTCAGCTTCTGGGGACCAAGTTGTGGAGGCGTTGTGCACACAGAGCAGGTGCTCTGCCGCTCAGCTGCAGCCCTTCTTCAAAGTCCAAAGGACTCTTTGTACAAATAATTAAAAAAAAAAAAAACCAAGCAAACTAATTTGGTGGAAGGAGAAACTTCAGCAAGTTGCTCAAATTGCTCAAAGTACAGAACACCTGCCCTTCTTTGTATCTGCCTCCCCTCTCCTGCAAGCTGTGGGGGCTTGCTTCTGAAAAGCCGATGGCCTGGCTCCCTCCAGATATTTCACACCGTAGTTTCTCATTGGTTTGGGCTGCTATGGCAATTTGTCAGGCTACATGGAAGTTGGAGTCTGGCACATCTGGGGAGGACCCACTGGATATGGTGCCGTCCTCCATGGAGAAAACTAGATATAGCCAGTTAGGGTTGCCGAATGTCCAATTTGAATTCCAAAACTTGTGTCATGCAAAGTCAGACATCTTCCTATAATGTGCAGGGTTTTGAGATCTCCACAGTGTTGCCAAAAGCAATTTGATGGGCTGACTGGATATGGTAGTCAGGATGAGTTCATGACGTGTTGTAAGAAGGTTTGCTATTTGTGATGCCTTTTGTGATTTTCAAGTTGGCCTAATAAAGACATTGTACCTTTTTTTTTTGGATTTTTTTCTTATGGCCAACAGAGGTGCCTTTATTTTTTAAACCAAGGAAGCCCTGCCCTGCCCTGCCCTGCCCTGCCTTGAACAACACTTTGGAATGGAGCAATCTTGCATGTGAAACTTTTTACTTCATGCAGAGATGAGCACAAGCACTTGCTAGGGCTAAAGGCCTCAGAGTAGAAATGTGGTGGTGTTGTTATTATTGCAGCTGGCAAGCCTGTGCATGACACAACTTTATTTTCATTTGATCTGGGTTCACACTTCCCTTGGATTCCCTGTTACCCTGCTAAGAGCCATGCTGGCTTGCCAAGATTTGAAGGCATTGTGTGGGTGACATGCTGAGTTTTGATGCACTTATGGGAAGGGCCTTCATTTGAGTTGACCAGGCTTGTGACTTGCCAGGCAAATCTGAGAACAGGAGGAGATGGAAGGTGTGCATATACAGAATACACATATTGTCATGTTTGGGGGTAAAAAGGTGACATCCCTGCTTTGTGTTTGTGTGTGCAAGAGTAACTCCAGCTAGGTGGGAGCTGTTTCATGGCTGCCACGCATTCTGAGAGCCAGGGTGTCTCCCCCCCCCCCCCCCCCGCTGTGCTCCCGTGCCATTAACAGCTAGATGAGAGGCAGAAGTCTAGCAGGAGTGAAGCCTTCCTGCGGTCTTTTGATGCATTTTTGGAAAATGCTTGTGTGGCCCATGCTGGGGGCGGGAGGGGTGGAAATGGCAGTTCCAGTGTTCAGAATGTTTTCTTTCTTGCCTAGAATGCATACCCTTTCATGCCTTGTTGTGGCATGGACTGGTGTGTTGTACGATTGCACCCCTGAAATAAGTTTCAGAATCTCAGAACGAGGTATCTGTTGGAGGAGGCAGAAGTGGGTCCAGATAGATGCATGTGTCAGCACTGACTTTAGCTCAAATTGATTTAGTACCTTCTAGTTTCTGCACTAGGAAGGCAAGTGTAGGCAAGGTGAGCCTCTTGCTATGAAAAAGATACATTTGGTTGCTGTTTGCAGACAATTAGGCCTTAGTTACTCTAGGATTATTTCTTGCTGTTAGTTTTAGAAGGAAGCGTTCAAAGGTGGTGAAGACCTACCAGCCTGGACTCCAGAGCAGGCCCAAGGCAGTTGGGATGTAAAGCGGAGAACCTGAAGGCCAGTCCCGTGGCGCTTTCTGGCAGGGGGCATAACCCACGGAGCCTTGGCTGTGGCACTGCCCTAGCATTGAACTGATTGGCATGAGTGGGGCTGTTGGTTTCCTCCTCCATAGGTAGCAGTTTGTCACATCTAATGGGTCATGGGAAGGTCCATAGTCCATTTGTCCATCTAGCAAAAAAGAGAATTTGAGCACACTTTGTAAAGTTATAATTAGATGTTGTTATCAAAATGCTCATTGCATTTTGTCTGTCTCCATGGGCCAGATATCTTGGCAAATAAAGCTAAACTCTTCATTTAACTGGAACAATTTTATCATCCCAGGTGGGGCATCTGTGTGCAATTTGTTCAGAGATTCTCCCTCATTGATTAAAAATTACATATTATTGTATAATTTGTTTAGGAATCAAATAATGTAATAGGAAATCTGTTCTATATGTTATGTATATTTTTCTTCCTTTATTAGTATTGATCTACTTTTGGCAGCATTTTCTATTTGGAGAAGTGTATGTGGTACTGATGCTTGATTAATTTGGGGTGTGGTTGCTTGATTGTGGGGTCAGTATCTCTTCCTAAGGCCCAGTGCCGCACTATGATTTCCAAAGGCAACGTGCAGTGAGCTTGTTGTGCTTCTGTTGCATTGAGTTGGTATCACCTTCCTTTTAGTGGATGACTCACAGAAACTTGCCAAAGGTCATGGGAATGAGTCTGTCTCAAAGTTGTCTTTCTGACCCAGCTTTCTAGCTAAGAGACCATGATTCTGGCAGGAAGGAAAGCAGTGGCAAGTCAAGATGGGTTCACAGCTGCAGACTTTCTCTTATGTAAAGCCTAGAGAATCTAGTTCCTCCTTGCCTGGCTTCAACTTCAAGGAGCAAATGTCATGTAAATGAATGCTCCCATGCCAAGCGACTATGCAGAAGTCATACCAACAAAGGGAATCCCACACCAACCAAATGATGGGGAGTTTTGCACGCCTGTAGAGTATGGCACTTCAGTCTTCAAACAACTTTTTAGTCTCATTCCCAACTCCCTTCTCCACAAGCAAAGGTTCTTCTTGATTTTTAGGTGTGTTTTTAATTGATTTGGTTACACGCTTGCTGATATTTTTATAAAAATGTGTAGCATGGCCCAAAGATCAGCCTCTGTAGCAGAATGGTCACTGTAACTTGGATTCTGCAAACATAAGTCCCTTTCTCTAACTGCTTAGAGGACTTTGAGAGTCAGTAAACATGTGGATAGGCTTGATCTAGTAGATACTGTTTTCTTGGACTTCCAAAAGATTCTTGGCAAAGTCCCTCACCGAAGACTCCTGTGAAAACTTAGCAGTTGTGGAATAAAATCAGTAACTAGTTAAAGAACAGAAAGCAGAGAGTAGGAATACATCCTCAATGGAGGGATGTATGTGGTCCTACAGGGAACTGCATTGGGACCAGGACTTTTCAATAAAATATGCTTTATTGAATTTGCAATACTTTTAAATAAATGTTCTGAAATTAGGAGTTAGCAGTGAAGTAGTCATGTTTGCTGATGACACCAAAGTGTTTGGGGTGGTTAAAACCAAAAGGAGATGTTAGGAGAATGGGCATCTAAATGATAAATGCCATTCAGCGTAAGGAAGTGTAAAGTAATGTATGTTGCTTTACAATTCCCAACTTCAAGTATAAGCTGATGTGATCAGAACTAGCAATGACGGACCAAAAACAACAACAACAACAACAAATCTTGAGCTTGTGGCACATAGCTTGTTGAAAATGTTGACCCAGTGTAGAGTTCCTGTGAAAAAGGTAAACTCCATGTTAGGT